AATGTGGCTGCAGATGATGCTGTTACGGTGTCACCTGTCGATTTACAAAAAAAAAAACTATTTAACGCAAAGTGTTTACCCAATACTTTAGTGAGATTGTTATGCGGTTTTTTAGATCTATAACTTAAGAGGGATTAATATAACCTCTTTAAATGATGGGAAAACACACATTTTTTTATTTAGGCAACTCAAATAATTACTTTTCGATAATAATAAATAGCAAAAAAAAAAAGAAGAGGCCAAGAATGACCTACAATAATAAAACGGTTAAGTTGTACAGAATTCCAATAGAAAAATGCATATAGTTGAAATATCGATTGTGAAAAATCTCATCGGAATGTACAGTTCAAATGAATTGAATCGCTGTTTATAGAAGAAAAATGCAAATTCCTTCTACAAGCAGCGATTTAAATTTATGGTTTCGGAAGAAATTTAATGGCGACCTGCAAATGTGTTCACTATAGTTTTAACTCGCTTCAATGTGTGTTCTTTGTAAATTTTTCCGATTTATAGTTATTTAATTACTGTCATTGTAATGTTCAATATTTAAATGTCATTATAGTAATTAAATTAATTTAGTTATTTTTTAATTTACGCTCTGTTATAGTAAATTATATATCTTGATAAAAAATCTAAATGACAACCATTTTCTCGGGGCTAGTCATTTGTAATTTAAAGAAATTATTGCAATTTAAATATACTCATATAAATTACTGTTAATTGTTATTAATCAATAGCTAAAAAATATATTATCTGTTACAATTTTATAGTAAACATGATCGTAATTTCCATTTAGTTTTAGTTTTGTTGAATTATTTGTTTTTATTTATAGACGTCTTATAAGGAAAGGTCCCTCCGTATTCACATCGCTGGTACTTTGAAGGCCCTTTTGGTGAAGGGTGTGGGGATTTTTAGCTGGCCGAATTTAGCGACATTGTTACTTGTTAGAAACTTCAATTTGAATCGGGGACTGCTTGACAAAAATGTTAACCACTGTTCCAGTTCTATATTAGTTAATGCTTTTATACACTTCACCATAATTTGGAGTGTAGATTAAATTTGTCATTCCGTTTGCAAAACCTCGAAATATTAATTAAATATTATTAAACAGTTCTTACTATAAATTATCAATATTGATTGACTTAGGGTAGCCGCCAAATAACGCTACACCCAAAATGTCGGTATTTTGAGGAAGTTGGGAACGCGTTTCAATCATATAATCGTACTCCCCATTATTGGGGTGTATTGGCTCTAATTTGACTGTACAAGTGTCAACTTATCTTACAAAAAATATTAATCAACGGCTCACCCAATTTTCGGTGGCTGCAATTTGGTATATAGGGTTCTCAAAAGCTTATGTATAGCAACTTTTCAATATTGTCAGCATTTTGAAGGTTATAGCCGCATATTAAGTAAACAACGGGATATTGGAGGGTAAAGGACATATTCGCGGAAATTTGTCTATATAGATCCATATATTGATATCACAGAATTTTCTCATCGTCGTGGCTATAATTTGGCATATCAGATTCTAATTGAATAAAAACTTCTTTCCAGTAATTGTTTAATACAGGTTAATGTTTTAAAATAGTGTTTTAACATGTTTGTTTAATTTTCGATGTGTTAAAAATCCTACTAAAGTTTCCAACATGACTTTTTTGTACTTGGAACATTATTTGTTCAGGGCATAAACAACCTACTATGCATAATGTAATAACAAAGTTCCCATATAAAGGTCCCGACCGATTTAAAGTATTTTGAATGTATAATGATGACGTTAGGCAATTTGACATTAGTCCGTTTTCACAAGAAACGGACTAATGTGATTTAAATTCACATTCTAAAATCAATTCAGTTCGTTATGCAAAACCTCGAGTCAGTAGGACAGACATGGAGTCTTTGGGTTCCTTGTTCATGAAATCGGACGAAAAATATATATTTGTGTCTTGTACTTTGAACAGATTCTTATCAATTCGAAAAAAATTCGTCCTTGGGTCAACAGGAAAAAATTAAACAAATATAAACTTTATACACAATGTTCAGATTTTTATATATGTTTTATATTAGTTATGGGTTTTATACAGCTCCCTATGAAATTGAGTTCACTTCCTAATATAACACATTCATGCCATCATTTGTTCGAATCCTCATTCTAATCCAATATCTAATAAGCAACATCAACGCGACATTGTTTTTGTCGAAGTCGGGCAAATTGAAATTTCGAATTTTATAAAAAAAAAATCCACTAAGGTGTGAAAATACCTAATTCTATACAATCCAATTTACAAAGCTTTCGTCCAAAATTTTGTGGGAGTCGACTGATAGTCGGCATTCTCGAATTTGATATATGTTTGGATGGAATATAACGACGTTCCAATTTTTGATAATATCAACAACATCATTCATGCGCTCCAACCAGCAAGACAGACGGACGGAAATTTCTAAATCGATGCCAAATTGTCTGAAACGGATTTGGTGCAAAGATACATGGAGTCTAAAAACAAATATACATTTTTGACTAAAAAATTTCTTGATATGTTACGAAGACATATAGAGTTCTGAATTTTGAAGAAGAGTAACTTTTGTTGTGAAGGATTAAAAACAAAAATAAACATTCAACCGTAAATCCAAAAATGTTTATTTGCAATTTCTTAATCTTTAACTGCAGAGTTTTAAAAGACGTTTAATGCGATACTTTTTTAAGATCTCGTTTTTGAAATCTCTTTCATGATTAACATATGTATCTACAAATTTTCTCAAAATTAGTTCTTGAATCATTTCCACCTAGTGTAGGAGTAATGATCTATCCCACCAACTACAGATTTTTTCCTAACACATTTTATAGTTGTTGAGTATATCCATTTGTAGTGATTAATATAATTTATTTACTATTTTGTCGATTGTTTACTTAAAAACTATCAATTAAATACAATAACAACAACAAATAATTAACAAATTATGCAACGCAATTTGCACACACCCACTTTTGGATGATGATGTTGATGACGACGACGAGAAGGCAATTCTTGTTTTTCTCAAAACAGAACAACCGAATAAAACAACATAAACAAGTGCAATTGTTGTTGCCGGAAATATGCATTCGCTGAGATCTGCGACGGCAACGGCATCAACAACAACAACAACATTTCATGCAACTGCGTTTTGTTTTCGAAATTCACCACTCGTCCCCATCTCAAACTCAACAGCCTGTAATTGAGTGAGCAACAGTAGTTTTTTGTTCAGTGCTTACAAAGAACATAAAAAACAACAGAAACAGCAATGTTATTTATTTTGTAGCAAGAAAACAATAATAAAAAAACATAAATATAAACAAAAACATACAACTACAATAATAAATGTATATGTATATACAAATACAAAGTACTTGAGTACAACATGTGTACGAGTGCATATTTATGTACGAAATGAAAAAAATAATTGAAATGAAAAACAAAAAAGTTCTTAAATAATGATACTACTAAATATAGTACTTGAACTTATAATTATTCTTTAGCAAATAAATTAATTTAGTCGGTTAGAATTAGGAAAAATAGCAAATAAATAAATTTAGTCGGTTAGAATTAGGAAAAATAGAACAAATACAAAATAGGGGGAAATAATATAAGCGGGCCATCCATTTGAACTAGAACTTGTGTGTGTGTATGTGTGCAAATTATGATTATGACAAATTATTTCCTTTTCTTTATTTCGAAATGTCTTAGTGTAAAATTAAACATGTAGAAGTAGTCTAATTTCATATTGAAAATCATAGATAAGGTTTTCGGGAGATTTCAGGTAGTACTGAAGGCAAATATTTCCATATCTCGACCAAACCCATCAAAAAAGGCGGGAACTTAATCTGAAATTCCTAGTTTCATCACGAGGGTAAGACTAACATAACCGTCTGAGGAGCGAAGAGCCTAATAAGATGGTAGAAGAGGAAGAAAGAAGAAATTATAAGGGGAGTGAAGCGGAGGAACAAACGCGAACAGCAAACTGATGCTCGGAAGGATAAGCCTGAACTTCCCTTTACTTCATGGGAAGTTGCGAAGTAAATTAGGTCTCTGGAAAAGCAGACGAATGTCAAACCCGTTAAAAATTAGCTTCCCGTTAGCTAATATAAATAGAAAGCTGAGCCAACCCAAAAGTTAAAGAAGGCGAGTACCCATTGAATGAGACTAGATTTCGATTTCATAATAATAGTTCAAACTATGTTTGGCCGATTGACAATAAGTGGTTTATATATTGATATAGCTCCCATCTCCCATTCAGTTATATATCGGTTTAAATTTATAAATAGCTCTCATATATAATTTCGCCAAATTTCACGAAAATGTGTGATATTTGCAAATTACAGAACTTATTGAATAGATTCTAGAATGATAATTTATTTTGAATCGATTATATTAAGATGTTTATTTTTTTTAAATATCGATGTCCGAGTAAGAAGAATAATTCTGAACTTTTTTGTCTTTATTGTTCCACTTCAATATGTTCCTGTTCTTTCCAGTTATCTACTTTTATAATTCCATTAACCATTGATATTTTATTTTTATATTTATTTTTTTTATTATATTGTTTTTTTTTTCAAAAATAGAACTTTAGTTGATACCGTATTATTTCTCAAAGAGGAAATATCCAATTATCTCAGAACTCAACAGGTTTTATAATTGGCCAACTTGCAAATGAATTGAAAAAAGAAGAATTAGCAGAGCAAAAAGAAACGTGGATCTTAAAAGGAACGCGAATGTTTAGATATTTAACTTTGATGCGATTAGCTATGCAAATTTGCGGAACTTTAGTATGCAAATACTAACCTTTTCTTCCGCAACGATGAACAGTTAATTCTGTCATTTTTCAAACCGTTTTCCAAAAATAATTTATCAATATACAGATTATTTTATTTTACTCTTCCCCTCTTAATTATTGTATTCAATTTTTTCTTCTATTCTTTTCATAATTTATTAATTTTATTTCCTTTTATGTTTTTTTGTTTTTAGAACGAAGGTCCCAAACATGTCTCTTCACAAGACACTCATCAATTTCCGGAAAATGAAGAGCCAAATGTTTTGGGCCATGGCTCACCAGCTGCAGTTACATCGTTGCAACAACAACAACGTAACAGTTGTTGCCAATCCGAATCACAGGTCGATGACAATGAAAAGTACAATAAACATAAAGTGTTGCTAAATTTTGAAGAGGTAAGTAATATCTTTTGAAATATAGAGAAAAAGAGTAGTTATTTCCTTGATTATATAATACATACTTACTTAATACAAAACCAGTAAGGAAAGTAGTAAAGTCGGACGGGGCCGACTATATGATACCCTTCACCACTATGGCTATATTAAACAGGTCTATTATCATGAAATTGTATGAAATAAAATATGTGATATTTATCTAAATGTGAAACGACCTAGATCTATCCATATACATGTCATTCGTTTGTTACAATGGAACAAAAGTATGTAAACCGACTTCAAACAAATATCAATAGGTCATCCGTTGGGCTAGGTCTGTACTTTTAGAAAATCCAACTACGTTATTCTATGCTCAATTTTGTACGTTGTGCAAAATTTGATGTCCATCTAACAAATATTAGGAGTTTGATGCATAATTTACTTATATATGGATGCTATATCCAAATATGAACCGATTTCAACGAAACTTGTCACAGGTTAGGTTAAACTAATGTCAGTACCTTTTGTTCCTATCAGCCATATATTGGTTCCTTGGTGCGTCAATTGCTCAAAATCAATATATAATATAAGGGAGCTATATCTAAATCTCAACCGATTTTCACTAAACTTGGCACACATCATTCTGGATTAAATTCAAAGCGCTATGCAACATAAGAACTTGGTACATTATTTAGATTTAATCGGACGGAAATATATATATGTAGATCTGAATCGATTTTCACGAAACTCAGCACACATCATCTCAGCATCAATTCAGAACGCTATGCCAAACTTTTTGCAAATCGAAAGATACATGTGGTGCACCATTTACATTAAATCGGAAGAAAATATATATGGGAGCTATATCTAAGTCTTGACCGATTTTCACGAAACTTGGCATACATCATTCTGGATTAAATTCAAAACGCTATGCAACATAAGAACTTGGTACATTATTTAGATTAAATCGGACGAAAATATATATATCTAGATCTGAATCGATTGTCACGAAACTCAGCACACATCATTCCAGCATCAATTCAGTACGTTATGCCACATTTCGTGTAAATCGAAAGATATATAGGGACTTTGGTGCACCATTTACTTGAAATCGGATAAAACTATATATGGGAGCTACATCTAAATCTGGACCGATTTTCACGAAACATACCAGACATCATTCTAGGCTCATTTCAGTACGTTATGCCAAATTTCGTGCAAATCGAAAGATATATAGGGATTTTGGTGCACCATTTACATGAAATCGGACGAAACTATATATGGGAGCTATATCTAAATCTATACCGATTTTCTCGAAACGTGGCTGACACCATTCTAGGCTCAATTCAGTACGTTATGTCAAATTTCGTGCAAATCTAAAGATATATAGAGACTTTGGTGCACCATTTACATGAAATCGGAGGAAACTATATATGGGAGCTATATCTTAATCTGGACCGATTTTCACCAAACTTGGCAGACATCACTCTAGGCTCAATTCAGTACGTTATGTCAAATTTCGTGCAAATCGAAAGATATATAGGGACTTTGGTACACCATTTACAAGAAATCGGACGAAACTATATATGGGAGCTATATCTAAATCTGGACCGATTTTCAGGAAACACACCAGACATCATTCAATGCTCAATTCAGTACGTTATGCCAAATTTCGTGCAAATCGAAAGATATATACGGACTTTGGTGCACCATTTACATGAAATCGGACGAAACTATATATGGGAGCTATATCTAAATCTGGACCGATTTTCACGAAACTTGGCAGACATCACTCTATGCTTAATTCAGTACGTTATGCCAAAATTCGTGCAAATCGAAAGATATATAGGGACTTTGGTGCACAATTTACATGAAATCGGACGAAACTATATATGGGAGCTATATCTAAATCTGGACCGATTTTCATGAAACTTGGCAGACATCACTCTAGGCTCAATTCAGTACGTTATGCCAAATTTCGTGCAAATCGAATGATATATAGGGATTTTTGGTGCACCATTTACATGAAATCGGACGAAACTATATATGGGAGCTATATCTAAATCTGGCCCGATTTTCACGAAATTTGGCAAACATCACTCTAGGCCCAATTCAGTACGTTATACCAAATTTCGTGCAAATCGAAAGATATATAGGGATTTTTGGTGCACCATTTACATGAAATCGGACGAAACTATATATGGGAGCTATATCTAAATCTGGCCCGATTTTAATGAAATTTGGCAAACATCACTCTAGGCCCAATTCAGTACGTTATACCAAATTTCGTGCAAATCGAAAGATATATAGGGACTTTGGTACTCCATTTACATTAAATCGGACGAAAATATATATGGGAGCTATATCTAAATCTGAACCGATTTTTCCCAATTTCAAAGGGGTTCGTCCTTGGGCCAAACAAATGATCTGTGCCAAATGTCATCCAATTCGGATCATAAATGCGACCTGTACTTTGCTCACAAAAATACATGGCAGACAGACGGACGGACATGCTTAAATCGACTTAAAAAGTGATTCTATGCATATTCTCAAAAGGAACCATGGGTCTATTTCGTTTCCTTTTGCCTGTTACAAACATATGCACAAAGACATAATACCCTGTACCACAGTGTGGTGAAGGGTATAAAGAGAAACAAATAATTATCAAAATGGAAAAAAATATTAGATATTATGATTAATGATTTTATAGAGTTTTGTAAACTTCTGTCTTGGTATACACATTGAACACTAATATTAGCGGGTTCTCTAAAATAACAGAGATTAAAAAATATTAATGGGTTTTCATACACATTTCAACGAGACTGCATAAGAATTGGTTTGTCGGCATTTGTTTGGATTTTAAAAAGATCGCTCTGTTTGCAACACCTCTAAAAACTCGTCGGAAATATTTTTATGGTAGTAAAATACGATGTTTATTTTGCTGTCTGTCCGAATTCTCAATCTCGCTCACAACATTTAATACAATGTTTTCCAATTCCGTCCCTACTAATCCTATGATATTTAGTATACATCGACCACACCTAAAATATATGATATCGGCCCAATATTCTGAAACTGTGAGACAAAGTTTTTAAACGAAAAAACTTTAGCATTTTGAGTTCTTGGAGAAAACATAGTTTTTCCCAGAAAATGTGGGTCAATTTTTTAGCATTGCCCCAATATGATGATGACGTCTACTTTAGATATATTGTATAGTTAAATCCGTATTTTTAAATCGGTGTGATTATATTTAGCCATTTCGAGTTTTCAGAAAATATTAATAAGTATTCTGAAGACTCTCCACATTTTGGAGAGTTAACAATGTTCTGTCCGGGCGAACTTAGCGACCTTTTTACTTATTTATGGTGGAAGAGCACATTGACATTTTTTGGATAATGGCAAACAACATGATTGGATGCTGAGACATATTTTGGCATCTATAGCTCTATCTCTATTGACCGGTTTGGCAGTACATTTAGAAATACCCATGTACAACAAATCGAATGGAGAATTCGAATGTTTTCAATTTATCGCGAATGATAAAGTTACAATGAATGAACAAGCATTTGCAATCTCTCGCGAATGTTCGCATTGTACGAAAAATTCACGAAATATAAAACTTCGCTGCAAGCGTCGTCGATTCGTTCTTTCGCGAGCATTTGTTGCTGAAGAGCATTCTTTTTAAAAACTCAAAAAAACAAATGTTCGCGAGCGCTGTTAGAAATAAAAACAAACAAAAATATCATAAAAAAGTAAACACATACACACAGCGAATGAATGTGTGTGTGTAGAAAGTGTTGGGCATGTGTGGAATAACAAAACACATGGCCAACAACTATTAAGTTCACGAACGTTTTGTTTTTGTCTTGTTGCTGGTTTGAGCGAATGTTTGTTTTCATTCGTGAGCGAATGTCAGAAAGTATTTCAACCACCAAACAAAACGAACGATCGTTGTTGCGTGCTCTCACTCGTTAGTTATGTGTATACGAACATTCGTTTGGCGAATGCTCATTTGGTAAAGAATATATCGCAATAAATTCATTCGTAAAATGAGCTCAAAACGAAAAGAATGCATTATGAATCATTCGCGAGCGAATTTTTGAGCACACCCAGGAATATCTAAATTCGTCAGAGTTGCATATGTTTTGACCCAGATTTGATCGAGTTATCCGTTTTAAAAAAAAATTATACAGCAAAATACCAAACATTTCTGAGAAATATTACAATTACAGCTTGAATTGAACCTAAAGCATTCAACAAAATACCAAGTTGACCTATTTTTTAAACTTCAAATAAAGAGATTACCACCACTGTATATAGTGCCGTATTTCGCAGATCTATTTTAGTGCCCATCATAAAAAAACAAATATATAAATGTATAATATATGGACGTTATATCCACCCGAATATCAAAAACATCTATCCCAATAAAAACAATTCTGAAAGTTATGATTTAAGGACCTATGTTCAATATTTCAAAATAATAAAATTTCACTTTATAGAGCTATTGTATGTAGGCATGTATATTATTATGTATATTATCCCTTCTAACCCCAATTCTCTAAAAACTTATGACACGAAGTCTATACTACTCCCTCTCAAACTTAATCTAACAACGTCTTGTTATTCATTCAATTCCCTTATTATTATTTATTCAAACCTCCTATTATTTTTTGTAATGTAATATGTGTAGCTTGTATTCAAATAGGTCACATTTTTATGCAAATCCATAAGCCAACCACTACGCAAAATTTCAATGTCAAATGCCTTTTGTTGGTCAAAGTCAAGATATGCAAATATCGTTGTGTTGTGTGTTTGTAAGTTTTTGAAAGAATTTAGCCAAATTGAGTCGCATTGACGACACCTTTGCCAATTGGCAGCCAAATATGTTGTTGCTGTATTTGGCTATTGGCGATTGATTTCAACACTCTATCAATTGACATATTAAGTTTTAAGGTATGACATGGCGATCTTCACCCAAATCATTACGATGAAGTCTAACTAAACTTTTTTTTTTTTTTTTGTAAAACGAAGAAGTGGTATTCGTTCGATGTTATTACGATAGATGACCATTTCATTTGGCAAATTGGCATTAGACAAGTTCATGCTAAAAGTGTTGGCCTGTTCTTCTTATTTTGTTGACACATTGATTGGCAAAATTCATTAACAAATCATGAATTCATTGATTGGTTGGTCGGTCGGTCGTCGGTTGGTTGCTTAGTTGGGATGGGTATTTCAGCCACTGGTCGTCTTCTCTGTTCTGTTGTTGTCGTTGTCATTATTGTTGTACCACATTTGTTATTCATTTACACCATTAATGTTAAATTATTAACATAAATAACAAAAAACTGAAACCTAAACAATAGCAATTACAACAACAACAGCAATGACAGATAAGGCGAATGGAATAACTTTAGGCAGTTTAGGTATTGCACAAACATGGACTCTGGAGCAGTATGACTTGAGTTACACACGTTTGTCGATCTAACCGACAGACAAACAGACACATGTACGCATCGCACTGAAGTGGCCGCAAGAGAGACCGATAGACAGACAAACTGACAACCAGCCAGACAGACGTTGATTTTGCAAACCTAAATCAAGGTTAACATTATTAACAAAGAGATTTTTTGTTATTGTGTTTTTGGCTTTGACTTTGATTTAGTGACTTGTGTTTTTTTCGTTTTGTTTTTACAATTTTTTGGTTAGCGTCCAAATCTGAATATAAGAAAAAAAGTATTGTAATTGGTGCTGTAAATAGGGTATTGTATGTGTGAGTGTGTAGGATTTGTTTTCTAAATTAACTAAATTTTAGTACAGTTGTATGTAGATACGTATAAATAAAGGTGTATCTTTTTATTGGTTGTTTTTGCACAACCCTGTGACCCGTTGTTTTGGTATAATGGGTAGCGCCTTATTTTATAACAAAAATAACAATTGTATTTTGTAATTTTTTTTAAATATTATGTAGTAATGAAAAAAAAAATGCCAACACGATAATAATTTGTATGTCGATAATTATATCTCTTCTAATTCAATCGATAGTTTTGTATGTATCCATTACAGTCATGTAGGATACTTATAGTATTTTTGATGTTCGGTTAATAAAAGGGTTTCCAATATGGACTTGTCCACTGAACAGAGGTGGCAACGTACGTCACTTCAACACGTTTTAACCATGAACCATACGCAGAATTCGGGATACGGTGTTGCAGGCCTCATTTTTGAGAACTACGCATAAGCCGAAATTCTGTAGAAGATTTTTATAATTTGCAGATATTGTTCTTTTTCATAATTTACCGAATATCATGGAAGAATATTAAGCATAACTATGTATGTGTAGATTTTTAATAGCTTCTATACCCTTCACCATATTTAGAGTGTATATAAAATTTGCCATTCTTTTTGCAACACATCGAAATGTTCGTCGAATTAAAATAAAAGTCAAATTGGCTCTAATTTCTTATTGTGGTTTCTCATTGGGCGCCAAATCTCATGTGCTCATCGAAATATTGGTTTTAGATCCCATGGTCCAAATCCGTTTTATAAAATTTGGAGTCGATTTACAAATGCCCATCCGTCTGTCTGGCCGGCTGGTGTGCACGATAACTCTCGAAGGGAATATAAGTAATAATCGATTTCATTCAAATTTGCACTTAATATACCTTCCCAACTTAGTTGAAGTTGGAAGATGTGGAATTCAATAATATCATGCGAAAGGAATATCCGATTTGAACCAAACATTGTTCAACCTATTATCTTTACCAAGCCTAGATCAAGTAGACCCATTGGTCCACTCCTTCGGGTACCTCACAACGGGTCAAAATTTTCAATATTTATAAATCCAATATCAGGTGAATAGAATGTCTGATTTGAGCCAAACTTTGTACAACTTATTATCTTTTCCAAGCCTAGATCATGTAGGGATTGGTCTACTCCTTCTGGTACCTCCACCACAAATGGTCAAAATGTTCAATATTTATAAATCCAATTCCAGGCGAATGGAATGTTCGATTTAAAACAAACTTTGCACAACCTATTATCTCTACCAAGCCTAGATCAAGTCCGCAGATGAGCCCCATTGGTCCATTCCCCCACAAAATGGTCAAACTTGTGCAAAAAATTAATTTTATATCATGCGAAATGACTATCCGATTTCAATCAAACTTTGTACAACCAATTAACTCTGCCAAGCGTAGATGAAGTCCGAAGATCGGACCCATTGGTCCACACTTTCTTGTACCTCTCCACAAAGGGCCAAACCATAGGCTGAATGGTATATATCTGTCGGCAACACCGACTGACACTTCTTTACTTGTTTTTTTACATTAAACAAAGACTATTTAAAATGCCATGCCTAAAGTCCTCTTTTGTTTCCTCCTTAAGAACAAGGTCCTTAATTCGCTGGCCGGCAGCACTTGGGGTGCTGACAAGGAGAACCTGCCAGAATGTCGCTCTGAGAACTACAACAGTGAACCATCGAATGTTGTCGATGCAGTACCTACTTGGGTTTATCGTCGAGAACACCTTTGCCTTAGCCTTACTCATACACTTCGGGAGAGATATCAACAAGTTTATCTAGCAGGCTTGAATAGCATTCATACAGGTGCAATCTTTCAAGCAGTAGAACAATACCGAATGAATACTATACGTGCAGACCAATCATAGCAGCAGAGGAGAATCAGATGCATAGACAGACAATATTAGTTATAGATCACTTAAGATCACGGTCCGAATACTTAACGCATATTCAGATTGTGAACTTATTCAACTGCCCAGGTCGGAATTATTTATGGACCCAACTTGTACAGGATGGAACATTCCTGAATTTGAAAACAGAGGAGTCAGAAAGAGACAATACATAATAAATTTCTTTCTTGTAATTCAGTTGCTACAAAAACAAAAATATCGGCTGATCTTTAGGTACAGCCCCCGTAAAAGATCCCGGCAATTTAAGTATTAAGATAGGCACATTTTCCAAATCGATCGATCTTTAATGGAATATTCAGGTTTCTTAGTGTTTAAACAACTTGTTCGTAAAATATTTTCAACATAGGACATAAACCCCATATAAATGTTCCGACCCTTTTCGGTACTTTGAAGAACCATCTTACATAGAGGTCGATAATTCTCCTGGATACATGTTTAGACATAGACAAAAAAGACATATTTTTAATTCCTATGTAATGCTTTGAGGTATGAAAATTTAGATCCAATCGAACGATTCGCTTGTTTTTTTAACTTTGAACCTGATATTTATGGAACAAATTAAAAAGAGTTTCTTCTTATTAAATTTTAAATCTCTACATTTTCTTATATTTTCAGGCACCTGATCATTTAAAATTTAATCCTTACATAAGACATGGCTATCGTACATTCCTCTCCACAAAATTGTGTCTGCAAAGTATGTTCTGGTGGACAAATGAAACGGTAAGTAATCCCCTCATCCTTAAATAACAAAATGAGTTTCATTTGTTTCTCTTTTCTCTCACAGATCAACATATGGAGTCATTTATGTGGTTGTATACTATTTATTGGCTTGACCATATTCGATTTTCAATTCCTAAAAGTTCATGCCGAACTTGAGGATCAGATTTTGGTTGTATGCCTCTTGATATGCTTCTGCCTGTGCATGCTGCTATCCTCGATCTATCACATATTCTCGTGTAAATCGGAAGAACATTATGAGCTATTCCTGTCGGTGGACTATTTGGGCATATCGTTGTCACTGGTGGCCATCTATATCAGCAGCATGTATTATGCCTTTTGGTGTTTTAAGGTGGGTACAACATGACAATGTCTTCAAAATAACAGAAGATTAATTTTGAAATTGTATATTTTTCAATTTTCAGTCTCTTAGAATAATTTATTCTGTGATTGCTTTGAGCATGTTCGCCCTAGCTATGGTTGTACAAATTCCCAAATTAAATGTTTCCCTAAATGCAAAAATAGCGGTGCTATTTACATGGGCAGCTTATGGTGTCATACCACTTGGCCATTGGACTGTGGTCATGGGTGGTTTGGAAAATGAACTTGTGAGAGTAAGTGTTAGACACCTACTGGATTCTAGACTCCTCATATTAATTATGTACCTCTTTTTACTCTCTAGCTAATGGTTCCCCGTGTCATCATCATGTATGCCCTGTGTGCTATTGCCTTTGTGATATACGCTGCAAAGATTCCCGAACGCTGGCTGACCGGCAAAGTTGACTACATTGGTCACTCACACAACTGGTGGCATCTATTCATTTTGGCCGCTTTCTATCACTGGCACAACACCGGTCTGGTCTATGCTGAATATCGCTTGAACAACGGCTGCAATGGACCCATCCTGACGTGAAGACTATCAAGCCTGCTAGCATGCTAATGTCTCGGACAATATCATAAAACACATTCATTAAAAAATATATGCATGCCATCAGAACGTGTTGAGAATATACCAAAAACAAAAAAACTAAAGCAAAACTCCCAACACAAGAAGATTCAAATTAGCAGCAATGGGAATAAGAAATAAGAACAACAAAATGCCGAACTGTTTGTCTAGTCCAGTTGTCCGGATATCTGATACCGCTTTCATTCTGATCGATGGTGTTAATTTTGTGAAGAAAGATACTGAAAGTGACAGTTGTTACAGTTATATATTTGACACTTCATAAGCACTCTAATTCTGATTAATTTATTAATATTTTTCTTGGTGGGTGGAGTGGTACTCCAACTGGATACATTCGCCATTCCCACCAAATTCCCAAAACCATCAAACGATATTGTAATGAAACTTTAGTCTTAACATAATTATTTAATTTAGTTTGGTTAACTTTTATTATTATTATTATCATCATCGTCATTATTATTATTATTGTTATTGCTATGATTGTTATAAAAAAGAAGAGGAAGAAAAAATGTAGTGCAGTTCTGATTTTTTTGTATATCAAGGATAAGATCACCAATCATACATAGAATTGACTTATATTGGAACTACATTTATAAAATGTCTTTACTACAAAGCATGCGAACAATCACTAATCAATTATTCAGGTACTCTTTTTTTATTTCTTCTACATCAGATTGAATCTGCGAATGTTTATGGCGTATTTATGAAAATGGTTTAGCTCATTTGTGGACCTTTTAGGGCTAAAAGCAATTCTAGGATATTTGTCCGATATATACTTTTTTTTAATAATTTTAAGTGTTGTATATTTGAGAATGATTGTAATTTTAATAGGAAATTCAATAAAAATGGAATAAACGAATAAATTAAAATAGTGAATATTTAATAAATTAAAACATTTTTGTTTTTATTATACTATAAGGTTATTGACGTACTGATTACGTATTTTTTTGTGATCAAAGAAAAGTCCTTATTTTTGATGGCGGGCATGATAACTCCTCACTCGAACATCGGAATCCGAAAATTCCAACGGTGCACTATAGGTCAAATGACCGGTTTTTCTGTGCAAAATTGGAGAAAATCAAAGTGTCGTTATTCACGAGTTGTTGTTGTTTTTGAATTTAGAACACTCTAGAATAGAGACACGTGATATTTATTAGTGCTAAATATAAAGTACCTATACATAGATGGCCGTGGAAGTCGCTCAATACAATTTATTCTATAAATGTGCTTATATTTCTGTGGTGCTTAGTCAACTTTGAGTGCGTATTATTTCGATTGTGTTTACAATAATTAATTAGTGTAAAATGGAAAATATAGATACAAGTGAGCATTTTTATATTAAATCAAAACATTTTTATGTTTGCGACACTATACTTGAAAATAACCCTTTAGTCTATGAAGACTTTAAAAAGTTAATGTAATTTGATAGATTGATTTTCAGTAGGCTATTAAAAAAAATGACCCAATATGACCTCTTTGAAATTTTGCACACAAATTAAGTGATAAGTAATGAGTTAATTTAAGTTTCTTTCAAGTTGCGATTTTTTGCGTTTTACGAGTAATGCCTCTTTTATCTAGGCAACCTCCGTATAAAAAATCGAACTTTTTGAAATATGGCGAAAAGAAGGTAACCAAAAGAAAAAAACCTGGTGCTGTTTTCAAACATATAGTGTGCAAAATTGCTGTCGACAACATTTCGGATGAAAGAGAGAAATTTTTGAAGCAAATAGTACATTAATTTTGCTTAACATTAGAGCAAAATTTGGAAAAATGTCACAGAAAGATGAATGTTTCAAAGACAACCAGTAAGGAAAGATCAAAAGTCAGACTGGACCGACTATATGATACCCTTTACCACTTTGGGTACAAACAAAAATGATAGAATAGATCTTTGGATGACCATTAACATGGAATCGGGTAAAAAACAAATGTGATCTACATAGATATTTGAGTCAATAAAAACCATACACATGACATTCTGAATTCTATAAGAAAATTGCATGCCAATCGCATAACTATTGAAAGATTGGTGCACCATTTACCAAAAATCTCAATATGGACCGATTTCTAGGAAAACTTCATAGATGCCAAACTGGACTGAATTCAGTACGCTGTGCAAAATTTCGTTTAAATCGGGCCATTATTGGGAGTTTGGTGAACCATTTACATAAAATCGGACGAAACTATATATGTGTGCTATATATAAATTTGGACCGATTTCAACAAAACTTCACAGATGTGAAACTCGATTAAATTCCGTACGCTGTGCTACATTTTGTCCCAATCGGGCAAACATTTTCAGTTTGGTGCACTATTTACCTAAAATCGGACGAAACTATATATGGGAGCTATATCTAAATCAGAACCGATTCCAACAAAACTTCGCATACATCAATCTGGACATAATTCAATACTCTATGTAAAATTTTGTCTCAATCGGACCAATATTGGCAGTATGGTGCTCTGGTTACATAAAGTTGGACGAAACTATATATGGGAGCTATATCTAAATCTGAACCGATTTCAACAAAACTTGACACATACCAATCTAGACCTAATTCAATACTCTGTTCAAAATTTTGTCTAAATCGGACCAATATTGGCAGTATGGTGCACCATTTACATAAAATCGGACGAAAATATATATATGGGAGCTATATCCAAATCTGAACCGATTTCTTCCAAATTCAAAAATAACGATTCAAGTAACAAAAAAATCAGTTGGGCCAAATTTCATGACGAATACTATGATTTTGTTCCCGCTGTTAATTTTGCACAGAAAAAGTTGTCATTTGACCTATAGTGCGGTGTTAGAAAGAGTACATGTCTGGCTCTCGTATGAACTAGGATTATTGACATCGCACAGCAATTAACAAAATGGAGGAACTTTGAACAATTTTTTTCGGAAAATCGCCTATTACTACTATGTTCAAAAATAAGGAAGATTTTCGCCGATTGGCTTTATCCTAGTTCATACGATAGCTATACACTCACAGAGAAACGTCCCAAAATTTCAAATCGATTGGGTTATTAGTTTTTGAGTTATCGTGCCCGCCATTCGCAAAAACGCTGTTTGGAGAAAAATGCGTTTAAAGTTTGAGAGTCACTCTTGCCGTCACTTGATGCTAATGCAATAAATCGGCTATATCTTCAAAAATTGTTGAGATGTTCACTTGAAAATTTATAGGGACATTCTTGAATAGAGTAGGTTCGAATTAAATCAAAATACAAAATTAAATTTTTTGAAGTCGAGAATGGGTGGGGTCCCCTTAATATCCATATATACTTTTATCCATGCTGATGTTGGTAGTATCAGTCAGACGTAACATCCTTGGTGCATAATTCCAAATATTTGGAAAATTACCCGGATTATTCAAATTCTAAAAACTGATAAATCCACTACTAATGGAAAATCATACCACCCGATATGTCTTCTTCCACCAGTAGCAAAGAGTTAAGAATCTATATTAGGAGTGTCTGGTTACTTTTCCAGTAACATTTATTCAGTAAGTTCTAGTTCAGAGAGTAAGCCGTTTTTAGTCTCTTTTGCTCTTTTACTGAGAAAAGTAAACAGACAACATTTAGAAACATTTAGCAAATAAACAGCTGATTCAAGAAAACATTTCATTTGCGCCAAAATAAACAACAAACAAAGGACGAACACAATTATTAGTATTGCATTTAATATTAAAAATAAAATTAACAATAAAAGAAAAATTGATTTGGTATGTTCCCCGGTAACATTTAAGCTTCCTGCAGCAATACATTGCCCTCTATCTGGAACTTGCCTAAAAATATATAAGGAATTAGTTTCAAACTTAATGAAACTTTGCATTACTTACGAATTATCTTCCAATTTCTGTAATTTTTATGAAAATTAAATGCCATGATATGATTTTTTTAAGTCTTGGTTCATTTGCCCCGCTTAGTATTGACCAAGAGTTATCAAAACAGCAAATTCGATCAAAAACCTTTCTAATTAGTAGAAGACATAATCAAAAATATCAAATTACAGCCAATTCGATCGAAAAAAAAAACTACAAAATCCTAACATTTCGAAATTTTGAGGTTATCGTTATATGGGGACTATCCCAAAAAGTGAATTAATATTAATAATATTTTAGCAGAAAGATTTCGTACCAAGAGAAAATCCAAAATTTTAAATTACAGCCATTTAGCATGAAAAACGTGTCTAAACTTAGAGAGTTCTGTGGGACTACCTCAAGAAGTGGGGCAATATTAATAATGTTTACAGGAATATTTGGTACTAAGAAAATATCCACATAAAGCCAAATCGTGTCCAAAATTTTGAAAATCGGAAACCAATAACAATCCTTTTAGGTAGGGAGACGGACAAACATATCTATATCAAGTCTACTAGTCGAGATTTGACGATCGGTATACTAAAACGTGCGGACCGGATCAATATTTCGCGGAGTTACCAATTCATGGACCAAATAAAATTAAAATACCCTCAAAAAAAATCATTTTTAAGAAATATACTAGTTTGGGGAAAAAGAAATCCATTATTTTTTCGGCAGATGGCTGTACTGATAGATTTCTCGTAAAGTATCGATCAAAAAATTTCAGCTTTATATTCGTTGGAAGGGTGACATTTCGCAGCAAAAAAAATTATTTTGCTGTATTTTTGTTAGGTGCATTCAGTTGATAGTTACAGGGTGTTAAAAATGGAACAGTTTTTCTTTGACAAGGGCGAAAATGCAAGCCAAGCGGCTAAAATTGCGAATGGGTTTATGGTTCCGATACTGTAACAGCAAATTATATGCAATTTTGGTTTAGTAGATTCCGTTCAGGAATTTTTGATATTAATGATGCACCTCGCACAGGTAGGCCGGTCGTCGAAAATGTCGATAAATTCGGGGAAATGATCGAGAAATGCCGTTAAAACGGCAACAAATCATATAACCAAACGGTGCATATTTGGCACAAATCGGACATTCCGAAGTATGTTAAAAAAGTCCTATAGTTCATATTAAAATAATGGATTTCTTTTTCCCCCAACCTAATATATCTCATTATTAAATATATACACATTTCTTTATATAGATTTGTAGCACTTTTCTAAAAATTTTAGCATTTTTTAAATAAAAACTATCATTTGTATTTTCACAATCTATGCTTTCCACTTTTGCTTCGGAATGTAAAAAACTCCATGTACAGCATACCGCCCTCTGGTATTTCGAATATTTCGAACATTGTTGGTGAGTGGGTTTGTTCGCGAATGGTTTTTGTCTTTGATGATTTTACATTGAGGAACAAAAATTAAAATAATTCAACTAAAATGCATTGCATAGTTTTAGGGAAATATAAATAAATTAAAAATGGAGATTTTTGTAGACAATTTGTGTTGATTAGTATTTAGCCGTGTTTACATTAATGTCGTTATATTGACAAACATCTATTTAGTCAAGCATTATGTATTTTAACGTGAAATAGAGCACAATTCTGTATCATAGAATAAACAAATCCAAAAATGTTTTTTCCCTGATTTATTACTTGCAGAACAAATAGTTATTTTATATAAAAAAGAAAGTGGAATTACACCTGACTATTTGAAATAAAAATAAAATACAAGATTGTATTCCAAATTTTGAATATTTGTTTTGTTTTGAAATCACTAATTTCAGCAGTTCCACTATGGACCAGAAAGGCAATTTTTTCGTCATAATTAGAACAGTGGGTTTATGAAATAAATAAATATAAAATATAAGGGTTTCGTGGACGCTGATAACGATTCTGCAAGAAAAAAGTAAAAATTTAATACGGGGGATCAAAAACTGCGGTCATTATTTTTTTAAGTTAATCTAAACAACTTATTTTTGAACACATTTTGTAGAGCTAATTACAAATGTAGAATAAAATTTTGAAAATCAAGTAAAATCAATCCAAAATGGCTTATCAGATACAAGAAAAAAATAAATATTTCAGTTCTTGTCTGTATTTAAAATATAAAATGGTATATTATGGTCTTAATACTATGGCATACCTTAATTACATTTGAATTGTAGCCAATTTAGTTCAAAAACCTGATCAAAATCTCCAAACTAGCAAATAATAAATTAACTCAATGATAATACGAAATACTAAATTGCAGACAATTTAGTTGAAAAAAAAAACGCAGACAAAATCTGTAAAAAACCAAGATTACCGATATATGGGAGGTAACTCAAATAGTTGTTCCACTATTTGTCATTTGCAAACCGTGACCCACAATGTTATAAAAATTTGAAGCTCAACGTTTTTACTTGAAATTGGGGTTTTGTCAAAAAATCGATTACTGGGCCATAGTGAGTTCTAATAATGGGCTTTCAATAGGAAGGTGCTGTTGTATCCGAATGTAACAAAAAACGAAAACATTGTAAATTACCAAATTTATTGAACTATATACAATAACAAGAAAAACCACAAAGTTCGGCCCGGCCGAACTTTGAATACCCTCCACCATAGGTATACGGTTAGTTACTTGAAATGAAAATATAGGGAGCATATCAAAAAGTGAACCTGTACCGACAATTCTACCAATCGATTCTTGTAAACCATAATGTACACCAAATACAAATTTCAGCAATTTTTAATGGGAATTTTTCCTCAAAACCTCAAAACCCCAAAACGTGGAACGATATTGATAACGCATGGTAGGGTGGAACATGTATATTAAACGCTCAAGGTACTACAATTTAGAGAGCAAAGTTATATGATAGGTTATCATAATATGAGGGGCTATTCCTAATTAAGGACCGACATAGCTCAATTTCGAACCCAATATTTTAGATTCGTATCTCAACACATCCCTTCAAAAATACCGAAAATCGGAAGTTATCATTATATGTTATATTATAGGCCTTAATGCGGGCCGTTATATTTCATTCTTATCAGTTTTTATCTCGATATCCTCCAAAGGTAGAATGAAGGCTAAATCGTCTTAGAATGCCAAACTTTGTAGTATATAAACTGACAATTTCGGGTAAAGGCTCTCAAAATACCAAAACTGTTATTTAGGTTCCACCCAAATTGGACCAATATTGATCATTTTTGGCGGGAAGATTTGGTACCCCATTAGAACCCAGAGTACCAAGTTACTGCCAATTTAAATTAGAGACATTTCCAAAATCCTCAAGGTTCCCATATTTATAATTTCCGCTAAAAATAGGACGATATCCGTCATTTGTGGGCTATTCCAAAATGTGGACCGATATATCCTATTTTTTATACCAGACATCCTAGCAATGTAAATACAATATATTGAGAGCTATATATCTCTATGTATTGAATACGGAGTGGCAAATCTAGTATACACTCGACTTAAGTTTGAGGGTATAATGTTCGTCTGGATGTATATTGCTGTTACGCATAAAATATGTGCCAGAATCGTGAGAATGCCAATTCTTAAATTAATTTTTGGAAAACCCATCAAATAAGGCTTATTCAGTGCAGATTTAGCCATGTCCATCTATATTTTGAGTTCGTAATATTTGGTTGGGGAAAAATAAATCCATTGTTAATTATTATTCTTATTGTGTAAATGGTTTAAAACAGTTTTATGGTCCATTTTAAGCTCCTTCTCCTGCTAGCATGACGGTCAACTTCGATCATTTCTCCGATTTTACAATATTTTCGACGACCGGCCTAACTGTGCAAGGTGCATCTTTTACATCAAAAATTCCTGAACGGAATCTATGACGCCAAAATTGCACATAATTTGCTTATTTGCATAATTTGCAATATCGGAGCCATAAATACCATTCACAAATTTTGTCAAAGAAAAAAAAAACCAAACAAAAAAAAGGCAAGATAATTTTTTTACTGCGAAATGTCATCCTTCCAACGGGCATAAATCTGAAATTGTTTGATCGATACTTTTAGAGAAATCTATCAGTACAGCTATCTGCCGAAAAAAAATGGATTTCTTTATCCCCAACCTAATATTTAAGGCAGAGCTGTAATTCCATAGTTTGCGTTATTAGAGGATTAAATATTTTACCTATTTTAAAATTGTCTCACAGTAGAGGATATAAGATATTCTTGACGACCGAACTTATTTATAATTTTATATTATTAATTTTTCCCACGCTTCAAATGGAAAATATTGACGACAATTATGAGTAATTATTTTTTTGTTTTTTATTATTTAAATACCATTAACTAGGCTCTTGTTTCAACTTTATCGAAAGCCAAATCTATACTAAATGCCCAACATTTAATAACCAATTTCAACTACACAAATCAGGTTAGTGGGAGCACTTTAGTCGCCGCATCACACCATCACATCAACTATTATCAAATCAATGCCTCTTGATTTCCAACGCTTATTATCTCAAGGTGGTGTAGCATTTGAATAACTAATGCTTGAGCGCTTGATACACTTGATGCATATTTGGTCCATCACTGACCACCTCCAACAAATTTTGAAGTGCGCCCAAGCATCACTATTACCACTAAAAAAATAATCATCAAAGCAATCAGCCATCATCAACAAACAACGTTTCGAGCGTAACTATCGTCGCAGACATCATCAGTCATCGCCTTATCTCTGCAAGCTTCTATTGCTTCTTCTTTTTAGTTTGCCCACCCTCCTGCTCCATCGATCGATGCTCAGAAATTGTTGCTTTCATGTCAATTCACTACTCATCGCTTAGTAAATGTTTTACAAATTGCCTGTTGGGTCCAAGCGTCCACATTCGTTACTTTTGCTGCTGTTGTTGTTGTTATTGACGCTGTCTCTTGATGAACTGTTTTTAAATATGGGGCAAATTCAATGTTGTTTTTTCGTGGTAATTGTTTTTCGTTCATTGGTCAACTAATGTTGTTGTTTTTATTATTAATATTTTTTTTTTGGGCAATGTGAAGTTATTTTTTTATCCGAATTGAGATTTTGGAGGGAATTCCAATTCTCCTATGAAAAAAGTCAAATGTTTCAAATTGTTTTGTATAAATTTGCCGAGCAGTGCTTGGTATGGCATCAGTATCAGTTGTTGTCTTCTTAGGCTTCGTTCCATTTCCATCCAAATCAATTAGAGCTTCAATCCATTAACACGAAATTGAACCGAGTTTTATTGCTGTGATTGATTGCCTAGGACCAACAAAAATGAGGGCATTTATTTTGTTTTCCACTTTGATGGTGGCTGCTGTAATGGCACGTCCCGAACCACCAGTGACATATCTGCCAAGCCAGCAACATGTCCAAAGAAATCATCCAGTGAATAGTAAGTTGGATATTTCAAAATATTGAATTTCAATATAATGGTGTCTTGTTTCTGTGATTCCAGGTCATCCAGCTAAACCACATGTTTACCAACAGCTGCCTAGTGACAACGGATTTAAAAACTTTGCAGCCGCACCAGCTCCAGTATCCAAGACCAACCAGTTGCCATTGGCTATGCACAACGAAGAGGATTCCTACAATGCCGCCTATCGTCATTCCATGACCGCTCAACATCAATCCGGATATTCCAACGGTCCTATGGAAACTCAAGTTCACAAACATGTCTATGTACATGTTCCACCCAAAGAATTCGAGGAAGAAGAATCCGTTCAACCCCGTGTAACACACCAAATGGGTCCCAAACAAAAGCATTACAAAATCGTCTTCATCAAGGCTCCATCTGCACCGGTCATGCGTGCTCCAATTGTTCCACCAACACCACAACACGAAGAAAAGACCCTCATTTATGTGTTGCACAAGAAACCAGAGGCTCAACCTGATATTGTTATACCCACACCTGCTCCCACCAAACCCTCGAAACCAGAAGTATTCTTCATCAAATACAAGACCAAGAAGGAAGAAGCTCCCGTCTATGGTCCACCACCCGGCACATACAATGGTGAACCCCGTCAAGCTGCTGAAGCATCGAATGAATATGCTTCTATTGTCCCTAACGATACCGCTGATTTCCCTCAAAGTGGCGCAGAAGAAGAAACTCAACCGCAGTACATGAATGTGGAACAGAATCCCGAATCATATGTTGAAGCATCTATGACTGCTCGTTCCGATAACGATGTTCCTGAACCGGAATCCGAACAGTATGTGGCCCCAGAAATGAGCTCAACTCCCATTGTTGTGGCCGACTCTGAAGAAGAACCACGTACTCCCGCAGCCACTTATGGCTCTCCTTCCCGTTACTTTATCAAGAGAAGAAAGTAAGCAGGAAGATGCTATGGTGCCATTGTGGTCCTCCGGATGACCACTTATTGTTATTTTATTCTTAAGGACATCGCGACATGTTGTTCATTTCATTTGCGTATTGCACATTTTCATATCAAATTATTATTCACCGTTTTATTTGTTACAATAAATTGATTTAACGAATTTTTTATTAAAAAAAAATATAAAAAAGGTTTTAATGATTTGTTTGTGGCGACTTTTCTTGCCAGACTACAATAACAATTAAATGTTATTGGCTAAATACAGCTAAATACGTTTATTTGTTGTTTCAATATTTTTGTAAAAACAACGAAATGTTTTTATAACTACCTAAGGGTTTTAGGTGCAAAGGTGCCAGCACTTGTACTGCCTCACAAATAATAAGTGTAAATAAAAAATCAAAATCCTAAAGTTAAAAAAAAGGAAAAAAGTCGGTCATCTCGAACTTTTATATGCTCAACCATGAAGTGAACATTCAAAATACATAAAATACATACTTAAATGGGGTCGAATCCACGCTGAGTTGCTACCACGAGAAACCAAAATACCAAATTACAGACACTCAGCCTTGAAAATTGGGCTAGGAACTTGAACATCTAGGAAAGGACGCGTTCTATAGTATTGGAACTTTGTAGCCAATGAGAATTCAAATCGCACACAGGTTTATTATTCGCTTTATACAAATAATATATTTTTATCAAGAAGTTGGCCGTCTTTGGTGTGGTACCAGGAGAGTTTGCCCTACAGACCCCATCTTCGGATTTAATGTTGGTGTGGTAAAATAATACGATGTGCAAACAGTGGATCAAATCGTTTATTCATTTCGTTTTATCTTTGTATGGTAAAAGGATTACGATTCGCAAAGATTGGATTTAAGCGGTCATTTCAAAAAATATTAGGTTGTACAAAGTTAAAATTAATTTCAGCAAAATTTTTACCATTTTGTTTGAGAGGTACTGAAGGAGTAGAGCGATATTCTCCATCTTCCAACTTGATTTTAATTTGGTAAAACTATTGAGACTATGTATAGAATCTCTTTCAGAGTCGATTTATGCATGTCCGTCTGTCTGTCCATGTTAAATTGTAAACAAAGTGCAGGTCACATTTATGATCCGAATGAAATCATGTGAACGTTGCTGTCTCTCATATATTAGGTTGGGGAAAAAGAAATCCATTATTTTGATAAGAATTATAGGACATTATTTAACATGCTTCAGAATGTGCGATTTGGGCCATATATGCACCGTTTTGTTGTAAGATTTGTTGTCATTTTAAAGGTAACTTCATAATGCCTCTCTCATAGAAGTCCTGCTTTCTATACGCTTCTTTTTGAATCCTGGTTTCAGTAAATGGCTTAAAACAGTTTTATGGTCGATTTTTAGCTCCGCTAAAATGCCGGTCAACTTCGATCATTTCTCCGAATTCCGGCCGATTAACTCAAAATTTTGTTCGTCGTACTGAAGTTAGTATAGTCTAACGTGTGTTCGGTTTTGGTGAAAATGGTTCAGATTTTTTTTCAGGCGATTGTAGGTGAATGGTGCAAAGTTTGTTCGATAGACACAACGTATCAAAATGGGTCTGGCAAGTTTGGATGAAATCAGTTCAAAACTAGCTACAATATAGATTTTCATCCGATTTTATCCAAGTTTGTCTGATTGTCACAACAACGTGTCGAAATGAGATAAAAATAAATACAAATTTGGATAAAGCTCCCATATACATATATATTGGTCCAATTTTATATAAATTGTGCATGAAGTAATGGTGCCGACTTAACAAAGCAATTTTTTGGTAACATTATTGGTCTGTTCCCGTACTCCAAGAATCTAAATTTGTAAACCAGGCAAATAAAATTCAATTCGCCTTGACATTTCAAAATTTAGGCAAATTTGATGCAACCAATCCAATAGTACGTTTACATTGTACCGGATTTGGTTAACCCAGTGGGTTTCAATTGTCAATTGCATTGTATACATGTCAAATAAATCCACATAGGGTAGGTTAACCCGGATTTGGTTAACCGTGTGGTTTTAAATTTTCAATTCCTTTGAATATATGCAAAATAAATCCTCATAAAGTAGGTTAACCCGGTAAAAAGTTCTAATGTAAATGCCATATTAGTCTTTTCTTGCTGTCAACTTTTTAATCGCGAAATACAAAGCAGAACACGATAAAATTTCGAAATATCTTTCAATAAAGTGTATTGATAAGATTGTGCACGTCTATTTTGTTTCCAATAAAAATATTTTTTGTTTATTAAGCAATCAAATAATACAAACAGCAACACAAAATTTAAAATTTATTAAATTAATCCACACATTTTTAGATTACATTCAAAATTTTAAATTTCCTGAATCTTTTGTTTTTATTTTCAACAAAAGAAAAAAATGAAAAATACGTTCTGTCAAAGTTGAAAATTTTCAACTTGAAATTTTGTGCGTTCGACGTATTTCGGTAACATTCATATAAATACATGTATGTTCTACTTTTGTGGTGAAAAACGTCGAACGAGCTAGTTGAATTTTAGGTAAGGCTCTTAATCTTCAGGGTCGTAGCTAAATTCAGTGCGTTGCGTACTAAAATATCCACCTTTATAGGGTTTGTTGAACGTCCGTATTACCCAAATACGCAAGGACCTTATTGACTTGTATATTGATTGAAAACGGCGAAAATGGATGAAAAAATTTTCTTAATTAACTCACATGTATTGAAAAACAAATTTTTTAATGACTGGAATTCAATTTTCAAAAAACAAAAATTCACCTCAAGCTGCCCTACCTTGTATTATTGTACCATGCATGTATTTAACTTTTGAGGTGAATAAAATCGTATGCAAACGCTTGAATTTAGGTACGACCCTCAAACAATAAATTTGACTGTCAATGAAGACTTTTAATTGTTAACCTTATTAATAAACCGTGACCCATCAGAACAAAATATTTTATAACCTACACATCTACGTTAAAAGTATGTGTTGGCTCAAGGGTTTGTAGCTGCACGATATATAGATCCTAGACTCAAATTTTTGTATGTCGTTATCATCTCTCAGAATCGTCCTAGTATTACACATGACCGTCCATTATAATTTGTAATGTGATCTAAGTCGACTTATATTGGTTTTGGTAGTGACCGAGGAAATTACGGAGACGGTGATTTGTCCTAAATATAGCTGTTTTCATGATAATCGTTCAATATTTAGCACGTCAAATAGACCAAGAGTTTATTTGAAAAATCGCTAAATTTTAATTGTATGGCGTACATATTTTCTACTGAAAGGTATAGATTAATAGTATATCCAAGGGGAGTGGTTAGCTTTTATAAAGACTGCAATTATATTAATGTATGTACACAGAGGTGGTATTTATATCGCACTTTCCAATATCGAGACCGCATAAAGTTCAAAGATGTCACAAATGATGATGGATAAAAATCCTTATTATCTCTCTATTTTCTGTAATATACCATATTTATAGTTCATATACAACCAAATTGTATATGAGAAATAGATTTGGGCAGAAAATAAACATGCATACATTGAAAATGAAGGTCCAATGGTAGTTGTGTAGGGTATTATATTGCGACGTCCGACTATACTGCTTAGTTCACTGGTTTAAAAAAAAAGTTGTATGAAGATGGTGGAGAAGTTAAATAAAGTGTCAATTTTCACAATGTTTTACTTCCTCCGCCATAAAGTGGAGTGTATATTCCATTTGTCATAGCCCTTTCGTCCAGCCTAATTTCTTGTAACTTGGACTGTAACATGACATTATGGGCTTTTTGAGTGTTAAAAACACCTTCTAAGAAAATCTTTCCAGTTTTGTTGTAGCCCTCATATAAAATTCCTGTCCATTTTTAGGTATTTTGGTTCTCTCGAAGTAAAATTAGAAAAAAATCACTAAACTTCAAATTTATTTACAAAATTTAATTTATTTTTTAAGGCGAATTAAACATTACAACAATTTGTTTTGACATTCAATGTTACAATCAACTGGGTCGATGCCACTACCTAATACATATACATTGTGTTTATTTTTTAGGGTCGTACCTAAATTCATGCGTATGCGTACGATTTTATTCACCTCAAAAGTTAAATACATGTATTTCAATGAATGTTACCCAAATACGCATTGCGTATAAAAATACAAAGTTGAAAAATTTCAACATTGACAATGCGTATTTTGAATTTTTTGTTTTTTGAAAATTGAATTCCAGTCATTGAAAAATTTGTTTTTTTATAAATGTAAATATTTTTCGGTTGATTAAGAAAATGTTTTCATCCATTGTCGCCATTTCCAATTGACACACGTTCAACAAACCCTATAATGGTGAGAAGGTGGGTATTTAACTACGCAACGCACTGAATTTAGGTACGGGCCTTAAACAATTATGTTCTTCATTGAAACCAAAGCGTTTCAAACTTTTTTCTTTATTGTTTGTAAAGTAAATTGTCAAAAACATTTTCAATATTCCATTTCGATTTCAAAAATGGTATTTTTTTAATAATAAAAATTAAAGAAAACTACATTCATAGAGGCGGACGGAAAGGAAACCTATGCTTAATGCCATGTACAGACGAGCGTTGTTCGCTCTCTCATTCGTTGTTCGACCCTTAATTATGAAGTAATTACTTAGTTGCCCATACAAAATTGTCTGAGCGAACACCGACTTTTGTACGTTGTTCAATTCGAATAACTCTCTGAATCACCAAGAAATTCGTCCCATCCCTAACAACTTAGAGCATTTATCGAAAATAAATTAATTTTGACAGCTTTAAAATATTTATAAAATTTTCAAACTTTTTTAGTAATATAATAATGAATGAAAAAATAAAATAATGAATGAAAAGTAAAAAATTGTCTAGTTTTTATATATGCAGCAGGATGTAAATTTTGTTATCTACATAATGCAATGTGAATTTCTTTCCCCATGGTTCTAATTAGCGTACAAAACAAGAAACAAATTTGGGGACACTCAAACAAAAAATTCTCCAAATTTT